TGCATTATGTGTACTGAAACATTTAGCTGAATGTTTTCTTCAAGGGGTGTCAAATTAAACTTAATTATAGAAGCTAAATGTTGAGATATATGTATGTATTGCTTAATTAAGGTCTTGTTAATCGATCTCAAGTGTTGGATTTACTATAGTTAAGTAAATATTATCTCATATGATAAATTTAGGGTTTGAGTGTTAGTTACATGTGAGACTGTGCTCTTAATTAAGATCATTCAATAAGTAATTTGTCTCAATGTACATGAAAATTAACTTATTGACACCTTAACCGTACAAACCAAAAAACTAAAATCTTGTTTGATTTAAAAATACTTTATTTTGTAGTTCAAATTGCAAAACAATGCCACTGAATGAGAGAAGACCTTCAATATGAAGGATCCATTCTTATTCAATGATTAGTGTTATACACATTGAACATAACATTTTTTTTAATTTAATATGGATATTAATTTTTTTAAATGTATTATATTATTTGGACTACATAACATTTATTATTGAATAGGATTAGGTTTCTTGATATTGAAAGCTTTTTTCTATCTAATAATATTTATTTTATAGTTCGGTATAGTTTAAATTATAAAAAATTATTAATTTATAGCTAAATAACTAAATTAGTTATAAATATAATAATTTTATAGCTAAAATAAATTTATTATTGTTATGAACTTTTAATATTTATAGGTAAATGACTCAATTAACTATAATGTAATTGTCATGATTATTAGTTTGTAACTAAAAGGCGTACTATGCTATCAAAGTATTGCATTATAGAAATACCTAACAATTAACTTTGAAAGTTTCAAACATATGACTAAAAATCACTGGTTTAAAATTCGGCTCGGCCCGATCGATTGGATCGGTTCAATCGGACCCGGGCTTAAAAAGGGGCCGAGTGCATGCTTTGGCCCGTTTTGAGAGTTGGCCCGTCCAAACCCATTCGACTCGTTCGACCCGTGCCAACCGCCCAACTCGTTCCACCCGCCGAGGACCACCTTATCTCCTTCGTGAGCAGCCGCAGCAAAGCAGCCTGGTCTCCCTACTTCACCTCCATCAAAACCAAGAGTCCATGGTAATAGATCTGACGAAAGAAATATAGACGACGAGACCACAGTGCTTGCCGGAGCACTCCAAACACATGAAGATGCCATAGGAGACCGAAGCCCATTGCAGATTCTTTTGGGCACAGTCAACGCAGATCTTGTTCCTTGGTTGAGATTAAAGGTCGTGAAACTGTCTAGACACCACCATTTGAATCTGATCTCAACTGATTCTTGGAGATTGAAAACGAAGAGGATAGATCAAGCACCAAAAAGATTTTATTCGATTTTATTTAAAAAAAAAAAAAGGGTTAAATTGGGGGGAAGAGGAAGAGGAAGATCACTGACATTGTCCAAATGGTTGAGGAGCGTGGGGATGACTGGTGGTGGTGGTAGACGCACGTGTTAGAAATAGGCAATTTTGGGTTGTTGTGCAAAGTGAAATGGTCTAAATATAACATTTAGTCTATTAGTTATAGGTTTATTATCATTTTGGTTTAGAAAGTTTATTTTCTCTCAAATTGGTCTATGAACTTCAAAAAAAAAAAAGCATATCAAAAGTCAAAATAATCGAGTTGTATATATTTAATTAAATTTATTATTTTAAATTGCTTAAATAATGATTTTTAAGTTGATTTTATGATGATTATTTCTTAAAAATAAAATCAAAATAATATACAAAAATAAAATTTAATAAAAATATCAAAAAAAGCTTTTTTTAATTGACCGATTGAATCAATTGAGTGAATTAGTCGAACCAATTGAACCAAATTCAATAGTCAAAATGGGTCAATCATCAAACCGAACACAAAAACACTGCTAAAAATATCTATAATTAGCTTTGAAATATAACTATCTCGACTCTAGCTAGGTATATTCTAGGTGTATCAGCTATAACAA